AAATAAATAGCTTGTGTTTTAAATCAATAAATATAATTATTTATTTTTTAATAATTAATATATTAAAGTAATAGATTTTTTATATACTGTACTGTATATATACAGATAATGTCAATTAAAAATTAAAATTTTTGTAATATAACATCTATTGTTAACTTTAAGCTAAACAAGGTACAACTACAAATGTATACAATTACCTTATATTAAGTAAGTTATAAATATATATATACAGTACCTTGCTAATTACTTTATATTTAAATAATAAAACTTTTAAGTGGCATAAATATATATATATATTATATCAGAGTTAAGCTAGATTTTGGATTTTAGGATTTTAGGGGGGGGGTAGACCGGGGTGAAATTTACAAAATTCTCGAAAAATCTTGGGGGGGGTATTGGGTGGGGTAAGATTTTTATTGCATTTTAGGGGGTAATTTCTCCTCGTTTTTAAGCGACAATTTTTCCTAATTGGTCAAAAAGTCTGGGGGGGGTAAAATCCCAAAATCTCGATCTTAGGGGGGGTATTTTGGCCTTACCCCCTACCCCCTTACTTAACCCTGATATTATATATATATATATATATATATATATATATATATATACATATATATACAGTACAGTACTTACCCGACACTTATCGCCTTCAATGGCCACCCATTGATCGTCTTTATCACTATCACTACAATTACGGTAATATAGTTTAGTCACTTCCACCCTATAGATTGGTTTTGACTTATGTTTCAGACTCTCAGTGGTTAATAGTTTATCCGTTTCAGTACTTTTGCCAAAAGCCTGGATCACTATCTTCTGGATGTCCGTCGAGTTTGCATCGATGGTCACAAAACTTTTATCCGTATTCAGAGCATAAATGTCGACAATAATTAGTGTCGCAAACATTTGTGACAAACAAATTGTTGCCGAAAACATCATTTTTTTGTTATTTGTTTTTTTTGTTAATTTTTTAATCAAATAATAGAAATTAAATTTAAACTAAAATGAAGTCAAAATTATGTTGTTATGTTAGGTTAGGTTGAGCAATGTTTTGAATTTTATGGGGCGGGGGGAGGGGGGGGTAGTGTAGTATATGGTAGAGTAATTTTTTTTTTAAAAATTAAAAAAATGGTCTTATAATTATTAGCAACTAGTGTACATATTTACAAATTATTAGTAATGTTGTTATCATAATATAAGTTATAGTATTTATTTAGTCAATAATTGTAATTATGATATTTATATATATATATATATATATATATATATATATACAGAATAAAAATTGTAAAAATTAAAATTTAGTTATAATTTAGTTAATAATTATAAATAATATATATATATATATATATATATATATATATATATATATTAGCAAGGAAAATAAAATAGAGTAAAGTTAAATGACCCCCCCCCTAAAATTTCGGCCCCGTTTTTTTAATAAAAATTATATAAATAAAAAATTTAAAAGTTTAATTGATCAACTATTTTAGTAAGTATTTTTGTTTTTTTTTAAAAATTATATGAATCTATTTATTGATAAAAATATATTAAGTAAAATCATGTATAAAAAACTCATCTAAAAATAAAACAAAGATTTTTGTCGAGAATTTTGTAAGTTAAGCCCACCCTAGGCCTCCCCCCCTAAAATCCGAAACCTTGCTTAACCTTGATATATATATATATATAGTAAGACTATTATTATATTTCAATAATTATATTACTTAACAGATTTTTAAAAAATATAATTTTAATTAAAATATAATTAATTTTTTTTTTAAAATTGAGACAAATGAATAAAATTATTTTCTATTAAAAATCTTTTAATTAAGTAATTTTTATAATATATAATAATTTTAATATTTAGTAATTTCATAATCTATATACAGTATACTTTTTAAAATGTAAAGTAATTTTTTTATTTAATTGATTATTAACTAAATTATAACAAAATTTTAATTTTTACAATTTTTATACTATATATATAAATATATATTAAAATATCATAATTACAATCATTGACTAAATAAATAATATATATATTATGATAACAACATTACTAATAATTTTTTAATATTATATTTAAATTCATACATATATAGTAAATATACAGATATTGTTTTAGTTAAAAAAAAATTTTTTTAAATCATTTATTATTTATAATATTAAGTCTATTTGTAGTAAATAATAATACAGTTTGTTTTGATTCAACAGTATTATTATGATTATGATTATTAACATAAAAATTATATCTAGTTTTACAATAGATATAGAAATTACGGGAAATATGTTTCAGATAATCGGTTAATACTACTATTGATAGGCCAAACCATAGGCCAAAAATACTGGCCATTAGACATATATACTCTTCAAATACGATACGATATGTTATCGTAAATATGGTGTCCGGTTCGGACGGGTTTGTAAATCGGATATGTCTAGTGGTCTTTGGATCACTACTACTGGTAAACTCTAGCGACTGGACAGTCGTTACATACGTTTCCTCTGTACAGTAGACTAGTCGGTCACAGTGGTGGCGACAGTATACAAGTAGTGTATCAAAATTTCTACTGTCGGGTAATCGGGCCGTAAATTTAATGTCAGCCACCGTATTGTTCGCGTAGTAGAGATAGTGTGGCGGATAACCCAAACCGTTAGCAATACAATGACCGATAACACACTCATCGCGGCATTGATCGCGGGTTTTATTGTTGAATAAATCCCAACATTTTTCCGGATTATAGCGCAATTCGGGTCGTTTGACTACCAGTTTTCGGTGGCCAACAATATGGACATAATCGCCGGTCAATCGTAACTGTATGCGATTGCCAAACATATTGGCGATATCGTAGATACGTTTACTGCGTCTATCGATGATTATATTGACACTACTGTTGGCCAGTTTTTGGCCACCAATCTTAACCATTGCCAGAAACGGTCGCCGGACAGTCTGGTCAAACCAATTATCCGATTCATTTCCGAGCCATTGATGATAATAGTGTACACAATAGTCATTATGACTGATTGAATATATATCATATTTATACGTAATATTATTTGTTAGTCTATACATAACTAGATTATCTAATCTAATTGATTGGACATAATTGGCTAACGGTTCCAGGTAATCCAATTGTTTATCAATTGGTTTAGTTAGTATTGTATTCATCAGATATAGGCTATAACTTTTTGTATTATTTGGCAATTTTCCCGTCGGTAATTTCCATAATAGAAATTTATTACAACATACGCTAATTGCTGGAACCGGATAACCGATGGCCTGGCGTTCATAACTGACATCAGTGGTCGTCTCGTATGTCAAATACATGTGACTTATGTTATAGATTTGATACATACAGCCCATCAAACATAGTAAATGGCATAAAAATCTGTAAAAATTGTTTAACATTTTATTTTTTTAAAATAAAAATTATAAATTTAAATTTTTTACTGTATATATGAAACTTTTTTTTGTATATTTTGAGACTAATATTATTATTTTATTTAGGAGATAATGAAAATATAATATATGATTGAAAAATTATATTGCGCTAAATAAAAAATTTAATTAATTTATTTAATTAACATTTATTGATTTTATTATGTAAAAAACATTATGTAGATGTTTTATATTGTTGAGGATATATATATATATATATATACTGTAAATATTTTACTATCCATATACTCATTTAATCCTAACTAAAATCATAACAATATAATAATAATTATTATTTTGTTTTGTTTTGTTTTTTAATTAACTTAATAAACATTATTATTATTTTGCAATATTAGATTGAAATTATTAATCGATTGTGATATAAATGAAATATTTTAATTATTTATTTATTATTATTAATGTTTTTTTATATATGATTTATTTTATTTTCAATTCATTTACAATTAAAACATTATTATAAATTATATTTATATATAATATACTCTATAAAAAAATAAGTATTAAAAAACAATATTTATTATTATTATTAAGGGTGATGTCTATTATTAGATTTTTATATTTTATTATATCAAAAGTTTTACAACTATATTACATAAATTAAATTATGTTTACACAAACATTTATCAAATATATTATCATAAAAAAAATCCTTAAATAAACAACAAAAAATATAATAAATTATACTAACTATTATGTAATAAATTTATTATTATGTAATACGATATCAAATTTTTTAGGAAATTATTATATTATAGATTGAATATCTTTTTTTTAATTGTCCATGTTACATCAAATAAACTTTTAGTTATAAATTTATTATTATTATTATTATCAGCTAAAATAGATTGACTAAAAAAAATAATTAATTAATAATAATAATAATACAATTGACTGAAAATACAATTCATTAAAAAAAAAAATTCAATATTTTATTGATTTTTATTTTAATTATTATAATAAATATATGTCTGTATGGAGTGTGGTCTCAGCGTATGAGTGACCCACCGATTGATGGCCTCTTTGATCGTAAACTTTACGGTATCCGCACTTTGATTGAATACAATCACAACAACGGCACCGTCGGGTCTCTCGAAAGCAGTACTCCAAACATTTTCAAGGGGTTTATCCTCATTGATGGCCAACTTTTCCGAGTCGGGTGCAAGAAATTTACTAAAATGACCCAAACTGTAGAACGACGGCTGTTTGTAATACTCATGTTGGGCGGCGTCCACGGCTACCGGTGCGTCAGCTTTACCGCCACACCAACGGGGACCACCCAGCAAGTCCAGCGCCATATTCCAGCCAACATAGCCGCGCACCTGGTGATTGAGATCCTATACAATATATACATTACTAGACTATATATTTTTTATATACAGTATATATACAAAAATATTTTATTAGTTAGTTATATATGATATAACAGGTATTGCAAGTTGGGTATACATGTGGTGTGTATGCATTTGGGTAGAGTATTCAGGTTAGGGACAGGTATTAGACTCTATTAGTTTATATATATTAGTTTATCTGATAAACCCATATAATATTCAATTGAAAAATAAATGACCATGGGCATAATTTCTAGATAATATTTCAACTCAATTAAAATTTATGTAATTGGTCATTTTTTTTTTGATTAATTGTAAAATTAACTAGATAAATAGCATCGACATAAAATCAGTTTACTAGTTATCTAGTTAATTTTACAATTAATCAAAAAAATGATGATCATCATTAATGTTAATTGTAATAATATTATATATAAATATATTACCTTGGTCATTTTTTAAATTAAATGTATAATCAGATAAACTAATATATAAACTAATGGAGTCAAATGCATACATCATATATATATATAGATACCAGGGTTGCTAAATATTTTCGTTTTCAGGGACGGGGTATAGGATAGGGTAAAATGGCAACAACAAAAACTCGAAAAAGTTTGGGGTGGGGTATAGGGGGGGGGTTGTACATAAGCTATTAATTTATATTCAAAATCTAATTTTTATATTTTTAATATAAAATTTTCACATAGATGTAAAAGGGGTCCCCTAACATTTTGGCTTTAGGCCAGGGGTGGGGGTGGGAGGTAAGATCCAAAAAATTCTCAATCTCAGGGAGGGGAGGTAAGAGGTGTCTTACCCTACCCTACCCTACCTCCCCTTTAGCAACCCTGATATATACCTATACTTGCAATACTTATCACATAGGTATATATACTGTACAGTATATGACTTCCACCACCCCTTTCCTCACATACAATGATTATAGACTTAGCGTACGCCTCGGCGTTAACCCAATTACCCAAATCGTGACAACAGTTACTCGATTCGGTATTTATAATATATTTGGTCGGATCGATGGCCTGTGTTCGGTCCAATTCGCCGACATTTGTATCCTTGTCCTCATACCAGTGTACGGCTATTCCGGTCACATATTTGGCCGCATCCTTATCGGCCAATATTACCGAAGACCATCTAAACAGTTGGGTTCGTTGGTCATCGAATATCATTAGTGCCAACCTATCGGTGCCATAACCGGCCGCATGGAGTGCTGGACCCAAATCTTTTTTGATGAAATCTCTTTGCAATTCTGGTGTAAATCCCAGACAATTGAAACCATATGTCTTTGAGTTTCCGGCTTTCGGTTCGTTTTCAATAGTTAGGCCCCAAATGTCGATACCGTTTGATTTGTAAGCGTCTAAAAACCTGTAATTTAATTAAATTAATTAATATTAGTTTTTAATGTTTTTTGATTTGATAAAATAATTTTTAAATATATATTTATCAGGGTTAAGCAAGGGGGTAGGTGGGTGGGGTCAAGCCAAATGACCTCTACCCCTAAGATAGAGATTTTGGGATTTAAGGGGGTATGAGGGTGGGGTCAAGCCAAATGACCCGCCCGACTCTAAGATCGAGATTTTGGTGAGTTGACCTCTCCCCAGATTTTTTGACCAAAAGTTTACACCCCATCCTAGAAAATTTTGTAAGTTGACCACACCCTATACCCCCACCTAAAATCCAAAACCACCTGGCTTAACCCTGATATATATATATATATATACAGTACGATAAGTTACTTAATAAAATAGTTGGCAAATGTCTTATAGTATTTGCCTCCCGGTTCACCAATAAGATAGCCTCCGTGTATTAGTTGGCTATTGTTTTTCATCCAAGCCGGAGGCGCCCACGGGCTGCCAAACAGTTTAATTTTATAGGGACTAACTTTTTGAGCTAACTTTATGTATGGTATCTATATATCAATAGATAATATATGATTTATATATTTGATACACAAAACAAAAATTCAATGTTTAATAAAAAAAAATTATAATTATCTTTAAAAAAAAATATATTATTGTTTATATACCTTATAATTGTGATCATCGGCGGTAAGATTGAAATGATTCAAATCAAAGTCATCAGTCATCAGGTCATCATAGCTGTAGGCGTGAGTGGAAAAGTCGGATCCGCCGATCGGAACTCTTACCAAATTAAACTCTAAGCCATTGGCGGAAAAATAATCGTCAATCAAGTGTTGTTGGGCCGACTCGGGTAGTGATCGCAGATTGAATCCGGTACTGTCGGTCATGGATGCGCCGAATCCGATGATTTTCTGGCCTCTTTTGTTGCGATCAATTGTAACGGTTTGGTCGACAACAACAACATCATTGGCACTATCAGTGCTATCGATGTCGATGTTGTCGGCAAACTTCAGTTTGGTTTCGGCTAATCGGTCGCCATCTCGGTTGGTCTCGTAAACAGTTACCACACCTACCGGTGTCCGGCGCTTCCATGGATCCAAAGTATCACAATAAGTGGCGTTACAGACACATACTATGTTACCATTTCCCAGATCTCGTTTAGCACAGGGCTGTCGACTTTCGGCTAATAGGTAATCGGAAAACATAAAATAATTAAAATTTATAAAAAAAAATTAAACAATTGGTAAAAATTATAACCCAATTAACGGTAAATATATTTACCTAATAATAGTAGACTAAACGATAGTATTAGTTGATATAACATTATATATATTTTTCTAGTCAATTATTTTTTTTCAAAAAAAAAATCAATTAATTTCACATTATTTATACACTATTTTAATTGAAAATTTTTATCTATAAATTTTTTGTGCACTTAAAACAATTATTAAGTGATAATAATATTTTTAAGAGTTTATCATTGATTAGAAAATTATTGATATAAGTAGTTTAAAAAATACAAAATTATTGTAAAGTAATATAATAATCAATTATTTTTTAGTTTTTTTTAATATTAAAAAAAAACTTTTTATCATTACATATGAACTAAATTATTACTAAAAAGTTATTATAAATAAAAATCGATAATTTTGGTAATAATATTTTTGGTACATATGTACTAATAATTATAATAAATTTTTATATTAATAATAAATTAATAAAAATTATTTTTTAAAAAAAGATTAATAAAAAAAATCTTATATAAACCTATGATTGATATTAGTAGGTATTGAAAATTTAAAAAAAATAAATAAATAGACCATGCTTTAAAAAAAAAATAAAATAAAATTATGTTTAATATCTACTATTATTAATCATCGGCTTATATAAGATTTTTTTTTTTTTAAATAAAATTATTACACTTTACACTTTTATAATTTATTTTATAAATACGTTAGTGTATTATTAATAAATTAATTAATAATATATAATTAACAAATGTATATAATAATAATAATTAAATTAACAATTTTATATATATCTAATAAGTAAAGTATTATTTTGCAAACATAACAAATATATTCAACAATTTAAATATATATATATATATATAAATATTTCAAACATAAAATTTAGGTCCTAATCCTAATTCAATAGATCCCAGAGCTGATTGAATTGTCAACAACAACAACAACAATAATAATAATATATCACGAAATGTTAAAAACTTTAATTTTCGGACAACTATTCATGAAATCTTCGACACATTTATCGCTGAAATTATTCTTGCATTTCTCCAGACGTATTGTTTGCAAATATCTCAGTCGGGACAGGGATTTCAGTGAACGACCAGTGATGGCAACGTTACGCGCGTACAGACATTGAAGTCGTGGCAAATGTTGGTCGATATCCTTGAAAAGTGCCGACATTTTAAATACCCGATTAGTGTTCAATATTGTCAAATGTGTCAACAGTTTCAGATGACTTAATGATTTGCTAGTGATGTCGGTATTGTCAGTGATATTACATTCAATGGACAGTTGTCTTAGACGAGGAAACTCTTCCAGTATGAGACCACTGGTCGAAGTAGTAGTAGTAGTAGTAGTGGTCGTCGTTGTTGTTGTAAACGATGTTATACCGAATGTCAGGCTCTTAACCGATGGACAATTGCGTCCCAATTGGCGCAAGTGATCGGTTCTCAAGAAAAGAAAACTGTTTTCCAGTTTGATGTCCTCGAGACCCGACATTTGCGACAAATGTTGAATCAATGCGCTGAATGCCAATTGATTGCACGTATAGTTCATCGATACGACTATTGATCTCAATTGTTGGCCATACTTGTGGACCAATGTCTTCAACAGATTGATCTTATTGTTGCTAAAAATRAAYGAAACGGACGACAGCTTCTGTAGTTGGATGTCATCGTTRAGAATGAACGACAGGTTTTCGTAGTAGAGATTCATAACTTCATTGATCGTCAAATGGTTGACCTCATAGTGGATCAGTTGACTGAATCGACTGATGTTTCGATTGATGGACCGACCGATTACTTCGTTATTCTGGGTACTAATCTTCAGCGACCGTAACTGTCGGTCATATTTACGATAAAATTTGTCCCACATTTGGCCACCGATAGAGTAAACGGGAAACGTTAGCGAAAATCGGTTCAACRYTTGACAGTTGCGTACGATTGAGGCCAACACATAGTCGTTGATCGTTATCCAGGCCTTCGGGTCGCCAAACTCTATGCATCGTATGTGCGGACACTTTCGTAAGATCAAATCAAATTGCGGACAACCGGAGCCGTCGGCGGCGGCGGAGGCCATCAGAAGCCGTTTGGTGACCACTAGTTTGTCGACACTGGCGAAGATCAGCTGTCGCCACTGTCGGCAAACACATTCGTATCGGAAACGGTCGTCAAACTCAAGATAACTGAACAATAGTTGGGCCAAATCGTCGCCAAAACGGTCAAACGTGTCGCGGGAAAACTTCGGCCCAATTTCGTGACCCAATTCAGCGGTCGTGTTGTTGTTGTCCGCCGTCGTCGACGACACAACTTCTTCATCATCAACAACACTCATGTCTGTATATCAAATGCTAAACGTATTTTTGACGGCCAATCGACCCGTAAAATTGGTCACCAATTTGTCTCCAAAACAATTGGCCGATCGATGAGTTTTGTAAATAATTAGTAAATAATAAAATAAATACTGTTTTGTATTAATACTGTTATTATCGTTATAATCGATTTGTTTTGRTTRTGTAAACAAAAAAACCAATTAACTGTTAATACTGTTAACGCATAGATTTGTTAGTCAGTTAACTGGTTTTTAGTAATACTAATACTTGTGTATTATTATTATTATGACATCACATTAAGACGTTCAGACATTGAGTCCATAGTCATACAGTCAACGCTGCTGTCATTGTTTCAATGTGTAGAAAACGTTTAAAAAAGTGTAAAATAATTAAATATATTATAAAGTTTATACACAGTGTGTATGATTAGCACATAGAGTCAGTGTTTTGGGAGGTTAGGAGAGATTCACATATTATGTCCACACATCTAAAATTCTAGACCCCCTTCCTCCCTCTCTCCCTTATGTTTGCATGTCATCTAAAAAAATGACCCAACCGCTAACCCCCCCCCCCCCCACTCACCCCACCCACACCACTAAAAAAATATAAAATATCTAAATGTGAACGTTATTTAGGTCTCTCCCCCTCTCCCCTCCTCTCCCTCTCTCAAAAGTTCGCTTTTGTAGACCCCCTCCCCGTCAAGTATGAACGTAATATGTGAATCACCCCTTTATTTACTGTATTGAACCAATAGATGTCATGCAATCCAATGGTTTGCAAAATATTAATAAATAAAAAAAAATTTTTTTTTTCTACATTTAATTCAATCAACTATTGAATTGAAAATTTATTTTCAAAAAAAAACAAAACAAATAATAATCAAATCATATGTTTTTTTATACACTGTTTTCAGTGATTTTTTTCAATCAATTAATTATTTATTTTTAATTCAATAATCAATAGATTGTAGTGAAGACAACACACACACAACACATGGCGACAACCGATGACCACCCGATCGGTGGCCAACACAACAACCATCCGATCGGTGGCCAACACAACAACAACCATCCGATCGGTGGCCAACACAACAACCATCCGATCGGTGGCCAACACAACAACAACCATCCGATCGGTGGCCAACACAACAACCATCCGATCGGTGGCCAACACAACAACCATCCGATCGGTGGCCAACACAACAACAACCATCCGATCGGTGGCCAACACAACAACAACCATCCGATCGGTGGCCAACACAACAACCATCCGATCGGTGGCCAACACAACAACCATCCGATCGGTGGCCAACACAACAACCAGCCGATCGGTGGCCAACACAACAATCACAACCACAACAACAATCGCCAATCGTTTGATCGTTTCGGCGATGATTTAGTACAGATGGTGTTGGCGTCGATGCCGTTATCGCTTCGGGACAGACTAAACATGCGCTGTGTGTCCAAACAGTTTCGCCGATTGTTGTTCACTGGCTATCATAATCTAGAGTTAAACTGTGGCGACCAGGATCAGTTTCTGGTGGTCAACAATCACGAACTGGACACTAGCTGTATGATGGTATTTGACATTTTGAAGACAATTGTCACTGTTTGTGACCAATTAAGTAGTTTACATGTGATGACAATAGATGATAGTATTGCTAAACAGACATTCAAACGATTACTCAATGGTTGTCGACGATTGACAAGACTGGAGATTCACTTGAAAGACATGAATCCCGATATTGTCGTAGCATTTGCTCAGAGATTTGGCCGACAACTCCTGAGTCTAAAGTTTGAAACGGATTGTCCAGAAAATAAACACTTTCTACGCTACTGTCCAAACCTGTTGGCACTGAATTGTAAACACTCACCCGATATGTCCATACTTTTTGACGACGATAATAGCCGCCGAGGACGAGGACGAGGAGGACTATTGGTAACTAAACTTAAAGAATTGGTCATACATTATACGGCTGATGATAGCAAACGAATCGGTAGATTAGTTGATAAACTATGGCCAACGTTGACATCGATTACCATCAATATTACGTGTACGGCGGCTTCAGAGCCAATGTGTTCAGCTTTATTAGTATTGTTCGGACAGTTACCGAAACTTCGAAAACTTCTGGTCTGTAATCTAAGGATTTGGTTTATTAATATTGAAAAACATCATACATTAGACCAATGTCTGAGACAAATGGCTGCCAACTGTCCCCGACTAATACAACTGGAGCTCAGAGTCTATACTAATTCGTTGATAGTCTACCACAAGATCATTGATTCGATGAAATACTTTCGACAGATGAGACGATTGATGCTGTTTATCGGTATGGATGACAACGACGATCCCGTATCGATAGACATATGCCGTGAACTGCAATCACTGAAATGGTTAAGACATTTGGATATCTATGCGAGCAATACATGTCTGAATGACGAACGCTTTTTCAATGATTTACATAAATATTTTCCGCGACTTCAATGTCTGAACTGTAATCCATGCGACGCTACCGACGGGTCGCTAAAATCGTTGCTACGATTACCACATCTGTACGATCTGTGTATTAATTCAACTGGACATCACTGTCCGATCAGTCGCGAAGATGTCGTCCATTTTGTACTGAATTGTCGTCATTTGCGTTCATTTTATTTGCAAAGCACTACAATTGATTTCAACATCTATGACGAACAATTCATTGGCCAGTGTCGGCAAACCGGTCAGTTGACCGATGAATGCATTTTTGTTAACTCCGATGTCGATGATGATGACGATGACGACGATGACACTGATGATGATACTGATGAATGAGATCCTAGTAGTAGTAGTAGTAGTAGTAGTAATGTGTTTGCAATAATAACTTTTTTATTACCGATAATTTATTTTCTTATTGTTATTTATTATCAAAAAAATTTCAATATATATATCAAAAAAAATCATTTTTATAATTATTATTATTAAATGTTTTATTTTTATTATTATTCTAATCATTGTTATTGTTATACTTTATTAAAAAATTTTATGGCTATTATCATATCATATATATATATAAAAATTTATTTATAATAAAAAATATTTGAATAATAGTTTTTATTTTATTTGATAATCAAAAAATGACTGATAATATAATATAAAGCGATGATTATATAATTTGTTTAATTAATTAATACAATATATAGATATCTTATAGATTATCTTAAAAACTAATTATCATATCTACCGGTAAAATGAAAAATAAAGACACAATAATTATATCAAGTTTTACAGTAAAATATAATCGTTTTTTGTTTTTAATTGGAAACATAAGGATCTGATTGATTGATCCACAAAATTATTATTTATTTCTTCGACAAAAACGTCTGCAACTTTTCAAGCAAACCCACATACTGTTGATGATCGTAGACAGTGGTGTAGTCGATGAGACTGCGGGCAAAGTCGTGGTCAATACCGCGTTCGTGAAGCAGATCCATCATCAGGTCGTACATCGATCCGTCCATTACATCGCCGGAAACCAGATACGAGTTCTCATTAAACTCTCCTTCAAAAAGTGAAAACTCGTTGATCTGAAACTGGTCTTCCAGTGATTCATTTCCCTGTTGTCCCGCAGCCGGTGGTTGTCCTCCCTGTCCATCATCTAAATCGTCGTCAAATTCGACAAACGAACAGTTAATACCCAACGACAGACCGCCGCGTTTGATCTCAACGGCAAAATCGGGCCGACACACCATCTGACTGGCCATTTGTTCTTCATCTGCCTGTCCGCCGGCGGCGGTGGCCGTGTCGTCTACCTCTTTGGACTCGACCGCGTGATTAACGTTTGCCCGGACAGTAATCTCTTCCGTACCGTTTTTCTTGGTCAGTATAACATTGGAGCCGTCCGTCTGGACTGACCAGCCCTTAATCGACGGTAACTTTTGCTGATGATTGGCCTTCTTCTCCAATTCGATCTCCGATTTTAAATAGCCGACAAACTCGTCATCGATTTGCGGCGAATTATTGGCGGCAAAACGTTTGGCCGTTACCGATGTAGTGGTGTTTGACGCCAACATTGGTTGATGCTGTTGACCACCACTACCAGTGGCCGTCGCAACAACACGTGATATACTGCGGACGGGAATCAGTGTCGACGCCGACGATCTCTGTGACCAACACCTGATGCCGGCATTCAAGAGATAACGGTTGGCTAATCGTGACATCGCTTTGACAATATATATGACACAAATCGGTGGACACAACACAGTGTTAGGTCTTATATATATAAATGTGATGACAATGTCCTCCAAAAAAAAAACTTCTTTGAATACCTTTGTTGTCGAGGATGTGTTGGTTCAAGTGATTGATGCTATAATGCAATGCTTTTTATTTCAATACATTCAATGACTGATGCAATCAATGCAATGATGAATATTATACAGTGTTTAATACAATAGCAATATATGTGTGAAAAAAATGTATGACTTTTTAGTTTGCAAACCAAACGCACGCTGTATTAACACCAATGCTATAGAGTTGTGTCATCTATTGGTTCAAAAAAATAAATAAATATATATTTAATAATTTCAATATTAATTTTTTATAATTATAGTTATTATAATTAGTTATTATAATTATTATAGTAATTAGTAATTATTATTATTTTAATTTTATGAAATACTACACAATACACAATAATTTTTTAGTTTTACAATAATAATAATAATAATAATAACAAAATACCAATAATTTAAAGTTCAAAGTATAAAGTTATAAAGTTTGTTTTTTTAAATAAAAATTAATTAATTATATAATATAATRCATAACCTAACCCCACCCCACCCCCACCCATCCCTACCTAACCCTAACTAATAATGATTTAGTAGTAAAAATTAAAAAAATAAAATTAAAAACTTTTTTTTTTGGTTACGCGCGTGTTGTATATCATAGTAATCAATGTTACCAACGATTAGTTGAAAAAATTAATTTTTAATTATTTGATAGTCACGATATAATAAAGTATTATTATTATTATTATACTGTAATTATTAGTAATAATAATAATAATTAATATTTGAATTTTGAATATTTCCAATAATATTAATAATAATTATAAAAAAAAATTAATTTCAGTTATTATTATATTTTCTTTCAAAGAGTTTCTGTCAAAGATTAGTCTTCTTTCATCTGTTTTTTGATACACAGAAAAAAAAGATAATAATATAATAATCCATACCTTGAAGACATCACTTTTCTCCCATCAATGGCTCTCTCCGGTGACATCACTACCGCCGCTGAAGGCGAAGGCATTATTTCATTCGAAGACAAAAGACCTGCCATTAGATTCGATGCCGATATACATGTTTCGGGCGATGGACTGGTCAGTCAAGACGAATCTGATCCGATGATTATGGGTATAATCAAAGTAGTCAACGGAGATATGAAAGAAATTCTGCATCTGATTGGTCACAAACACTGGAAAGTCGACGAACTACTCGAAGACGGTGTTCTGTATGCGACCGACGAAATCAACGAAAAACTCCGGGATTTTGGTCCGCGATCGCCGGGATCTTATCTAGTGGTCAACGACAACAAACTTTACGGTGTGGTTGTCGACGAAACTACCGATTGTCGTGTTGTCGGCGAAGTTAATTGTGTGGTTCCCAATCATCGTGAACTGAAAACTGGCGGCAATACAGTGATAATCAACGGTGCGGGCAATTGGCGTATAGTTCGCTCGACAGACATCAACATCCGGTCACAGGTGGCCAACGGTAAGACGTTTGTAATGGTCAGCGAAGCGGGTTTTGCTTTTGTTAATACCGAAAACAAACCGAAACAACAACAGCAACAAGAGTTGGCCAAAGAAGCGGAGGAAGAAGAAGAAGAAGATGATGACTATGAAGGAGCTATCGATGCTGAGGACATCATCCAAACAGATCCAGACGACAAAGAGCTACCGAAACTGATTCTTGTTGTTCGCAAAGGATATCTATTGGTCGAAGACGCAGAGGTTTGCTGGACTCGACTACAGGTTGGTCTCCGAGACGACCAGTTTCTGGCGAAAACCACTCAAGTGATGCCTCTGGACTGTGTGGCCTCGCGTTGCGGTTGTTTTCTACGCCGCGACGACAGTCGTTACGATCTCTACGGTTCATACAATGCGTGTCTGAAGTTTGAGTCATTGATGAAAATGATTGATAATCTGAAACCGGAAGACAACAATCGACAGACACCGCCAGCAAACAGTCCGCTACAGAATCCTTGTCAAGCCGTTGATGTCAATGTCGACGACGACTACGATTACTTAGACKATGAGGACGTTGACCAAGAAGTAGAGTCATACGAGTCCATCGATGAAACTGAAGTCRAGTCATCTGAGAGTAATAGGCAAAAGGATTCATTGCTAAGGGAATCGATGGCTGGTCTTAACTTAGAGACCAAAGATGATGATGAAGATGAAGAAGTCGAAGAAGTCTAAGAAGACAAACAAACACTTTTGAAAAGTCGCAGTCAAATACAAAGTCGACTAAAAATATTTTATATTATTTGTTTCAAAACTTTTTTTTAATCACTTATTTCTCTCTCTCTATTTTTTTTGTGCAAAATTTTGATTTCATTAGTTTTTTCTCCGATTCATATCATATTTTTTATATAAAAAAAAATTTCATTAAAATACTATAATATATATGTGTTTTTTTATTTATTTATTTATTGTTTTTATTTTCTAATTTATTCCAAGTATTTAATTAACTAAAAAAAAAAAATTATTCACAAAATTCATTTAACTTATTATATATTTAGTTATTATATTGTAATAAATAAATTCAATATTTTTTTTCGGTTAATTAAATTCAGTTTTATTGAGTGTGTGATTTACAAAATTAATTTTTCATTAACTATTTTCAAACAAACTTTTTTTTTAAAGTTTAAATTTTTTTTTTTTTGAATGAAAGACTCGTTTCGTTATATAACATAATTATAGTAATAATAATAATAAATTCATTTATATATTTCATAACATTTTGACAATAATAATAATAATAATAATAATTAAACAGTTACTGTACTATATTTAATGTATTTTATAATTTATATATATATATACACTTTTACGGTACTTTAAATACAAAACAATTTTTCAATTAACTTTACATATAACACATAACAATCAATAGATTTATATTTTAATTTTGTTAATTCATTATAATTTATTATTAGTATTGTTATTATTATTATTATATAGATTTTTAATAATAAAATAAAATTTAAGATAAATAATTGTAAATAATTTGTGTGTTATGTTTTGTCTAATATATTTGTACGACATTTACAACAACAACAACAACAAAAATCACATTGTGTTTAAAAATTTAATTTAATTATCAATAATTTTTTTTTTTTAATAAATTATGTCAATATTTTTATAATATATGTATTTTTTTGTATAAATATTTTTGTTGTTGTTTAGCTATGATATTATGATAACAATTTTGTTTTTTTTATATATCACTATTACTTTATTAATCAATGAATTTAACAAATTTTATTAATCTATTATTTAAAAAATAGTARTTATTTTTGAAAAAAATAAATTAATTTTTTTTTTAATAATAAACTTGATATTTAGCCCTAATATGGCAAACATTAATTAATAATAATTATATTTGTGTCTAATAAACACAATAAATTTTTAAACATATTTATAACAGTTAATTAATCAATCAATCAATCATAATTGTATATATATATACATAAAATGAAGTTTTTTTTTAAAAAAATACTAAAATAATAATAGTTAAAAATATAGTTAAAAATTTAAGTAATTTTAAAAAAAAAATAAAATCACAAAAAAATGTGTAAAATAAAGTCAAACACTGTTTACTAAACAAATATGTGTAATATATTTATAAATATATTTTTTTAGTCATTAAGATTCTGTATGTAAATTAACATTAAGAATAATTAGTAATAATTTTTTTGTCACATAATAATAATAATAATATTTTCTAATTTTTAATAATAATAATAATAATAACATTGAGATTTTGTTGTTTATTATCATTTTAAATAGTAGTCACTAAATAATATTGTGATATATCAGAGTTATGGTATATATATATATATATATATATATATATAATAAAAACTTTTACAATATATATATATATCGTATAGATATATATATTATCTCATATATATATATATGTCAGTTAGTAAATATATATATATATATATATATATATATATATATATATATMKTCTACAAAAATTATAAAATAGTGCCACTTTTGTTACCGATATCACTGTCGCCGCCGCCGCCGCTATTACTACTATTATTGTTGATGGGATCAAACTCGCCGCCGCCGTCGTCGTCGGTAGTGACCACATCCGTCTGGTCGTCACCGTATTTGTACAGTGCATTACATCGGCAACATAGTAGACAGGGGGCGGCCAGTATGAACATCGGCGACGCCAATAGTATAAGTAGTCCGAAACCGGCAAATATGCCGACCACTTGGGTCCGGTGCCAGATTACCGACGCTCGCGAATGGCCCAACTTGTCCTTGCATTTGCCTTTGTCGTAGTGACGCAATAGAAAGTCGTCCTAATTTACAGGGGGTGAGGGAGGGATGGGGAGGGGATACCGGTGCCCAACAACAACAAAAAATTAATTAAATTAGATATATATATGGGTGTGGGGTACTACATTTATATTATGGGTATATATATGGGTATATATATGGGTATATATATGGGTAGTGGACAACTATACCTCCAATGAGGCCAAACAAAACCAACAAAACACGTGTTTACAGTTGCGGCACATTATCTGAGCGCAGCCCTCGTCCCTCTCGATTAGTATACAACAAAACGGACATCTCTTAATTGGCGACGACTCGTCCAACAAAACTCTATATAATTTTAAAAATTAAAATTAAAAAAAAACAAAACAATTTAATAGTAATAATAATATCGACATCAAAATAATTAGTCACCAAAAAACATCAATAATTTATTTATGAGAATATATTCAATATATATACTAATTATGAGTTAGGATTTTATTTTTTTATTTTATTTTTTTGGGTGAGAAATAAATTTTAGTTATCAAAAATTTATTTGGCTCTTAGCTAACCCATACATATATATATATATATATATATATATATATATATATATATATAGCTAATCGTGTGGTTATATATATATATATATATATATATTGATATATAAATTGATATATTTAGGGAAATAAAGAGATAAATTAATAATAAAAAAAAATACATACTCTTCTTGTGCGCTAAACTTTTTGCAGTCGACGCCCAAATGCCAGTTCCTTCGGCACGCAGAGCAAAATGTTTTATTACACTACCGGTGCCAATATATATACAGTATTATTATAAATAAAAAACAACATACAAACAAAAAAATTAATTAATATAAATAGCTATCAGAGAGAGAGAGAGAGAGAGAGACAGATAGAGAGAGACAGATAGAGAGAGACAGATAGAGAGAGATAGATAGAGAGAGAGAGACAGATAGAGAGAGACAGATAGAGAGACAGATAGAGAGAGATAGAGAGAGAGAGAGAGAGAGAGACAGATAGAGAGAGACRGATAGAGAGCACAGTTAGCTAAGAAAATAACTGRTGATGCACTTACAGTTGTACAGTAGAAAGGTATCGGCTTTTTGCTACTGTCCTTATGTTTCGAGGCCTGTCGTATATAGCATACAGTTTCGCAGTTAGGCGTCGGACACCAGGTTCGGGTCGGATCTCTTTCGATCAGCCAATTCAGTCGATAGCGTTTGTACGAGTCGTACATATCGGGCGTAACCAGTAGTTTGATTTCGCGCGACGATATCTGATTGTTTTTGGCGGTCAACTGTGGACACAGACCGTCGGGACAGCCGACAAACGATACCTTTCCGTCGCGTATCGATGTTTCGCAATATTGTGTTAAACACTGTGTGGGTGGGAGAGAGAGAGAGAGATTATTATATTAATATAAAATATATTACAACATTATATAATTATTTTTATATAATCCTATTTTGATGTTGCAATCTATATATCTATATATATATACTGTATAATATCGTTAACTAATATATAAAGTTTATTTAATTTATTTTCTTATATAMAGTATATATATATATAATAAAACTAAAACTAAAAAACAGAATATTCTTTAGAAAACAATGAAAAAAACAACTAAAAAATAAAATAAAATAATACTATTGTTATAAAAATTCTTGGAAAATCATTTTAGTTGTTGAAAACTAATTATATTTTCAAGTAATCATATATATATATATATATATATATAGTATTATTATCAGTACATATACTATGTATTTATCAAAAAAAAACAAAATTACAAAAATAGTTATTATTTAGTTARCGAACACTATTTTGTTTTTATTTTTAATATTTTTTTTAATTAGGTTTACATTTAGAGTTTTTTTCGACCAAAAAAAAAAAATAAATAATAAAACTTTTWAAAGATTTTGAAATATTCTATTTTTAAGGCATATGTTATAATAATTACTGTTATTATAATTTAGATACAATAATAATTGTAATACAAAAAAAAGAGTAAAACTTTATATTTTAATCTTTTTAAACTTTTTATTTATTTTTTATTTATTTAGACATTAAAAAAATACTCATTAAAAATTTATTTTAATCTTTTATTTTATTATTACTATTATTATTATTTAACTGYCTACACATAATAGGTTGTTTTTTTGGACCACTAAACCCTATAAATTTATTAAGTAAATAGGATTTAATAAAAAAAATATAAGTATATAAATATTTTTATATATTAAAATTTTTAGTTAAATCTAAAATAATTTGTTTCAATTTTATCCAATAATAATAATAATAATAATAATCTATAAACAGTATAATCTTTTTTTAAAAATAATTAAATTACCAAATAATGTTCATAAAAATGTAAAAATACATTTATTTAAAAAATATAGGTATATTTATTTATTATTTTTTTTAAAAAAAACCCCAATTACGGTACTAAAAATATTTTATAAAATAATTTATCTATAAATATATATATATATAATTACAGGACTAGTAATTCAAAATATATATATATATAGATATTTCAACTGTATATATAATATACAGTAAAAAAATTATCATATGATTTATCATATAAATTAAAAATAAATTAAATTAAAGTTTTATTATCTAATTAATAATAATAATTAATTAGTTAATAAAACTTTAATTTTAATTTATATGATAAATAATATTAAAATTTTATTTATTTTTTTTGTATATTATATATACAGTTGAAATATCTATTAATATATATATATTTTAAAAAAATTATTAGTCCTGTAATTATATATATATTTATAGATAAATTATTTTTTAAATAACTATTTTTTTTAATAAAATATTTTTAGTACCGTAATTGGGTTTTTTTTAAAAAAATAATAATAGATAAATATATAATTTAATAATAATAATTAATTAATTAATTAATTAATTATAAATGACTAACCGTTTTACAGAAAGCGCAACCACACGACCAGATTGAGTGCATCTCATAACTGAAACGATCGGTTAGACATAGTTTACACTTAATCCGTGTCCAGTATTTAGACGACTTCAGACTAGACTTGTTATTATGGCCGACAAATATCTGGTCATCTTTTCTTCGGTCGGGAATTTCGAGACTCGATTTGCAGATCGTTTGCCAATGTTTTCGGTTGTTGGCCGCCGATGATGATGAACAACAATCGTCTGCCAATCGGTTGTCAGCGGTGGTGGTGGTGGTGTCGACATCGAGAGCGGCATTACTGGCACCACCGCCAACACTACAGCCATTATTGTTAGCACCGGTAGACTTGTTGTTTTGTTGTGCATTAATCAGAAACTGTTGGATATCATCGAAAGAGTAGCTCTGTTTCAATAGCCGTTTAGCCGTATTCTGGCCAATGGTCTGTAATTTTTCTTTGGTTTTGTCRTTAATCTGTTTTAGTCGTCGTCTTTTTGATGCCGACGACGAGTTTTTCGATCCCCGAAACAGCCAACGAAATGTGAAAAACTTGGCCGCACTGGACATATGTCTACCATTGGTGGCCGTCTTATTGTTGTTGTTGTTGTTGTTATCCCTGTCCTGTTGTACGGTTGACTTGTATATGGGAGATGTCGGTGCCGACTGTGCGCTATCTTTAACGACTGTCACCACTGCAGTGGACAGTCCATTGTTGTTGGCACTCATACTTTGCATGACTGTACGGCTATTATCGTTCACTAAAAAAAAATTTTTTGTGACCTAAAAATTTAAATATAATTTTTAAAAACAACAAAATAATAATAATAATAATAATAGTTAATCATATTTTTTTTTATAGTAAATTACAATTAATTATAATTAAATAGCTAAAATATAAAAATTATAAAAATTAAAAATATAAAATGAATTTTAATATTATTTATATTTAATATTTAATTATTTAATAATTAAACATTGTCATAATGTTTAATTATTAAAATTAATATATATATATATATATATAATTAAATAGCTAGCTAATTGTCAATTGTGTATATTACGAAACAATTATAAATTATATACAAACTTTTTTGTTTAATAAAAAAAACATTTAATTAATTAAATTTTTTTTGTTGTTGAAAAAATTTCAATTATAAATACAATATTTTTTCAAAAATTTATTAATACGTATATTCTGTATTAATTAATTTAATAAATTAAAAATTATTACTGTATTTATAAAAAGGTAAAGTTATAATATATGATTACAAAGTCTAACATTGAATTGATATACTTTATTATTATTACATTAAATTATAACAATTTTCCACAATATATATATACGATATTAACTTTATATATATATATATATATATCAATATATAATATATATGATAATCACATTTACTGTATCACTTAAGTATAAGTAACTACAAAACTATAACTATCAGTCAATAATGTATATACTTTTTTATTTGATAATAATATAAATACAATATACTAGTATATAATAAAGTTTTTCAAAAATAAATTTTTAATCAACAATTCCTTAGTAATAAAACTCAAAGTTTTTTGTTTTGTTTGGTTGTTATTGTCAATTGATATCAAAAGTGTGTTTTATTAGAGCAAAAATTTATTTTATTATTATTAGACGACTAATTGTGTTAATATATTATTTGTGTGTTAATGTTTTAAAGATATAAATACTATATAAATAGATTAAAATCATGTATATGTTATTATAAAAGTATTAAAAGTTAGTTTAAATAAGTTTAATTATACTTAAAATTTAGTAAACATTTTATTTTATTTTTTTTGGGGACACATTGAGATAAATGTTTGTATTATCATATTATTAATATGAATAGATTATAACATAGCAAATAAGTCTATACTTTCACATAAAAATTTGAGCTCAGGTATCAAAGTACAGGTCATACTATCAGATATGCATATATATATATATATATACAGTAAGTTATATACCGTATAATATAACATACACATACACACACATACACATACACATACATACACACACATACACACACATACACACATACACACATACACACATACACACATACACACATACACATACAGTTTACATATTCAATAATGAGATAAAACACATATAAATAATATTTTTTATAAAAAAAACATTAATATATTATCAGTTAAAACTTGTATCATCCAGTCCTATCTAAACCATTTACTTACTATTATTATTATTATCATTAATAGACTCTCATTTATTAATTACAGGAAAACACACATACATTTGACACACACTAATTGCATTGACAACAAATATATTTATAATAAAAACATTTACAGTATATTAAAGATAAATGTAATTTTATTTTTTGATATAAAAGAGTTTGAATAAGAAAATTACTTTTTAATAATTTCCACTATATATATATATATATATAAATTAACATTTATGTCAATACAAATATAATAAATAGTGAAAATAAGTGAAAATACATATTCAAACACAATATTGAAAACAACTAACTATAAGATAGAAACTAATAGAGAAATGCCATTAAAATATTAAAAATACTTTTATATATATATATATATATATATACTGTATATATATGTTAGACATATAGTAGTCTAAAAAGTCATAATATATTTTTAGAGCCAAACCTTATATTATAATATTTATCACTAAAATATATCAACAAAAACCTTGAATATATGATATATATATATATAGTATATATAGTATATACCGGTATATAATATATATTTATAACTAAATAATATTTTTTTAAGACATCACTTACTCACTGAAACTGGAAAATTGTTGTCAAAAAGATTTTTATCATCAATTTTTTTACATCAATAAAATTATACGAAATAATTGCCACAAAAAAAATGTGTTAAAAGCTTTTTTATGTGCGCTTTATATACAGTATATACCGGTATATATATACTAAACAAAAAAAACAAAACAAAAAAAATCATATAAAATGTACATTTTTTAGATAATATTTTCATTGCATAACTTATAATTCAATTCAAATTATTGGTATATTTGTATTACGTATTGTTAAAGTAGTAATAAAAATAGACTTTGAATATGAAAAACAATTTATTGTATTATTTTTAGTATTTAATATCAAATTTCACCTTTTTTATATTTAGTATATATATATATTTATGTTATATAAAATTATTTTGAATTAATTAATTAATTTGACGTTTTTATGCTAAAAATAGCATTTACAGAATATTCTGTATTAAAGTTCAGTAAATATCAAATAATATTTATTATTTTTTTTTATTAAATTCTTAATTAAAAAATATTTATATCTAAATATTAAATTTCAATTATCAAATCTATAGTATAATAATAATAATGTTGAATAAGATTTTATTAGAAATTCATTTATAATAATACTAAGACATTGTCATAGTTTTATATAATAAATTATATATATATATATATATATAAATGTAATTTAAATAACTAAATAAATAACATATATAAATTATTTATAAAAACACACACACATATATATAAACGTGTTTTTATATTATTAATACTATAATAAAATACTGATATATTATATTATTTTTTTAAAAAATTTAATGTTATACAAGTTAATAGTTATTTTTTATTTACAATAAGATTTAGATCTGTAATATTAAACTAATATTTTATTCAATTTTTTTTAATAATCATATAATAATGTTTCTATATATATATACTCTATTTTACATAAATAAGTTTTTTTTAATTAATATTAATATTACATAATTTTAATTTAACGTCAATATACTGTATATACATATAGATTTATTAGTATTATAAACAAAAATATTATTGTTTTTAAAAATCTATTAAAAAACATTTAGTAATGTTGATTGACATTAACATTAAACTTTCAATTAATTTTTTTTTAAATGTAATTTACATAAAACTTACACAAATATACAAATATAGTTCAAGTGTTTTTTTTAATGCTAAATAAAATTAATTAAATAATAATTATCTAAATAAATTAATTAACAAAAAATAAATAAATTTATTTATATATTATACAAATATAATTTATATAATAATAATGTTTTGACATTTATTTGTCATAAACACTACACATTATTATACATGTTTGAAAAAATAACATTGATTTTATAATAATGTTTATACAGTATATTTGTTTGCATTATTATTATTATTATTATTATTATGTATACTGTATAATGTATTCAAAAAATTTTATTAATAGATTTTTTTATTACAACATAATGTATAAGATATTTAATACTATTGTTAAATTTAATCAATATTTTTATTTGAATCAGATTACAGATATTGACAAAATATATTATAAATATTGTTTAATTTTTTTTATAAAAATTATAAATTTTTAATGTATATAAAACACATTTTTATATTTATAATGAATATTATTAGTAATTATTTATACCGATATATATATATATAAATTTATATAATGCTTATCTATTCATGAATATTAGATTATATACAGTATATATGATTTAAATAATTTATTATTAATATAATATTAATATAATATGAAAATTTTTCGTTCATATGTTTCGCTAAATCAAAAAATAATTATTGATTTATTTAAGTATTTATCCGACAAAAAAAACATTCAATAAAGTATATTATAAATGCATTGAAAAAACCAAATTAAATGTAAATATTTTTTTTTAAACATATTATATAAATATACATAATATGATTGAATTTAACAGCAAATAAGATAAAATAAATGAAAACATTTTAAAATATAAATGTAAATATATTTAAATATATTTTATTATATATTTCTTTGAAAATATTATTATGTAAAATAAAAGTGAAATTTAGATTTTATATATTTTTGTGACCTTTTTTAAAAAAAAATAAAAATTATAGTTATTATCATTTAGATCGTATAATCAGTTTTTTTATAAAAAGGATAAAATTTTAATAATAATAATAATATTTATTTATTTATTTCATTGGCCCCATATGTGTGTATGTATTTTGAAATAAAATAACAAATTATTTCAAAATCAGTTTTCAATAAATTAAAAATTTAAAAAAAACATTATAATTAATTTAACATAAATAATAACATATTTTCAAAAAATAAATTATTTTTTTTAAAAAACATTATTAAGTTTTATAAATTATATTACAATTGCTTATATTTATATACAGTATATAACAATTTTTAAAAAAAAATAATTGAAGTCTAAAAAACAATTAACTTAATATTTTTTTTTTAGTTAATTGTTAATTAAATCGATAATTAGAATTTTTTTTGTATCAATTAGTAGTATCGATAATATAGACAACAAATTATAAATATTTTATTTAATATGTAATAATACTCAATAATCTAATATTAGTTTTAGTATTTAATTATTTATTTTTTAAAAAATCATTCATTCATCTATCAATTTATTTAATTTTAATAAACATCACAATATGGTGTTAATGTATAATTGAAAATCAATACTAATTAGACTATATTGTAATAAAAAACAAAAAATTGTTTTTAATATTAAATATGATATCGATTTTTGTTGTTGTCGTTATTGCATTGAAATAATTATAATTATATTAAATTACATATATATATATGATATTAAAGTAAAAACACTATATATATATATATTCAAATATATTAAATTATAAATATTTAACCAACAAATCATAATACAAATACCATTATTACATACAGTAATAATACTATTTAATTAATATTTGGTTACATATTTAATGGACACAAAAATTAATCTAT